ACATAAATAGCAATCAACAGAATGCATGAGATTTAAAGGCATCAACAGACTTTTAGCAAAAATTGCTTGAGGTCTATCTAAAAGTAATCTTTTGAAGATTTACAATGCACTTAGAATGTCTAAATTTTTTTTTTAATAAAGGAGCAGCTCGTGGCTCCCTACGCGTTAAATAAAATAGGAGGTTACAAAATTTGAGGGAGAGAGGATCCCCACTAAAAAACAAAAGAAACATGAAATCCTAGGGGATCCATTCTCCGCATTACAACTCCACGCAAAAAAAAGTGAAAAAGAGATAACAAAGGATAAAGTAACTCCAAAATACATGTATCCCAACCAAAGTGTATACCAATCGAAAGAAGTATACCCCATATTGACATGTAAAGAAAAAGAAAAGAAAAAACTACTATGAGAGTTGTGTAGTCAAAAATCCTCATCCAAAACAGTTGTGGACTGAAACCGAAAGAAAACCAGCAAAACAATGCAACCAGATAGCAAGGGTCCGAAACGCATGATAGCTGCAGCTCCAAAACAATGAAAAAATGATCTGTGAAAGCATCAAAAGAGCAGGGAATAGCCACTGAAAACCTCTGAGAAACCTGTAAACGAAAAAGACAGAGAGGCAGAAGATCATACTCTAATATATGGGGAATTCAATTTATCCCCAAGCAGAAGTTGCCTTAACATATATGGGGGGTGGAGGCCACAAAGATCCTTGCATGGCCCATTTTAGCCAAATAGTCAGTTGGGGCATTACCTTCCCTATGGATGAAGGAAAACTGAACCTGTAGATGATGAGAAGATAGCAGATGCCATATTCGATTAAACAGGTAAAGTAAATATCAAAGGGGTGCAGTGGTCCTAGTAAGCATATTATAAATCAACATTGAATCAGTTTCAATGATCTGGTAGGTGAAATTGTAAATCGCAGCGATCTGAACAACAAACAGAACAACCCACCCTTTAGCCTCAATGGGGCTTTGAGCATAAAGAGGAGAGGTAAGGTAACAAATTAAGTTCCCAAAAGAATTTCTGAAAACACCACCCGCACCAACATAATTAGGAGTCCAGCTCCTATCAATATTAATCTTTACCCTTAGTCATAACAGAACTAGTTAGGGGACTTCCAAAACTGTCCAAAGCTTTAAAGTAATAAGAAAGAATGTAAGAGACAGTGAGGGAAGGATTCGAGGGGGAATTTGCATGTTTATGCCCATTTCGGGCTAACCATAAGAACCATAAAACCATTAAAGGGAATGAGACAAGGTTCTTATTAATTTTATGTGAAGCTTTCCAAGCAACCAATATGCCTCACAGAAAACAAGTTTGCGGCCATTTAACCTGAAAGAAATTTCCAACCATCTGCCCAGACAGTTTGGGAAAAGGAGCATTCAAGAAAAGATGTTTGATAGTCTATTCACCACAACTGCATAAATAACACCTTGAAGCCAATCTCAACCCCTTTAATTTTAATATATCATCAAGAGAAAGCAAAGAGAAGAAAAATTTCCACAAAAATAAGGATATAGAGGGGGACATATAACCATGCCATAACAGATGACCCCATTTCCAATTATCAAAGTTATGCAGATTATAGTAAAGCATTTTAGAAATAGAAACATTAGAAGAGAATTTCCAGATAGGCTTACCAGGCCTATCAGGGCATAAAGGAATTTTAGCAATAGGAATAGCATTTTCACCCAAGAGCTCCCTTAATTTGCTCACGTCCCAATGACCATTAATCCAACAATCAGAGACCAACATGTCACTTAACAAATTAGAAGCCATTATTCATGCCAAAAGGATACCTTTCCCTCACCAATGTCCCAAAAAATGAATTGATTAGACACGGTTCTAGCCTTTTAAATGGCTTTCTAGTTCTTAGAATCTCCAACTTTCCAATTAACCTAGGATGGGTGTTGGTGAGAGCAACACTTATGATACAAAAACTAAGCCCATAAGGATGAGCCAAGTCTAAATTTAAACCACAACTTACACATTAATATCAAGAATGTGTTGTAAATTTTTGAAAGCCAAAACTCCAGAGAGACGAGACTTGCACACCTTATGCTAATTTGTCCATATTTTAGAGGTGCCCTCACCAGACCAAAGAAATTTATTAAAAATATGCTCCAAATCTCTTTGTGTGCTCTTTTTCGTAGTGAGAACTTGCATAGCATATAGAGGAATGGTTTGAAGAACATTTTGTAACAGAGTTAATACAGGCATAAATCAAAGGTGTTGGTTAGTCATTTAGCTTATGCTGATGATGCTATCATTTTTTCTAATGCTTCCATGGCTTCACTCAAAATTTTGTTAAACTACCTTAATGCCTTTCAACAAAATTCTGATCTTCTATTTAACAAAGCCAAATGCCATTTTTACTTTGGGAATTCTGTTAGTTCTGCTATTACCACTTGGCCCACTTACACTGCATTTTGTAAAGCTTTTCTTCCTTTAATGTATCTTGGTGTTAACCTCCTTCGCGGTCGAAGGAAACAAACACAATTTGATGTTGTTGTGGATAAAATTAAATCTAGAATTCATGATAGGATGTTTTTCATGCATGCTATTTATAAGGCGAGAGAAATAATCAAATGCCATGATGAAAATCGTAGGGGAGAGGGGGTCTCCTTGTTTGATGTCTCTCTGAGCAGAAAAAAAGCCATATGACTTGCCATTAACTAAAACACTGTAATAATTATTTTCCAACCAACATTTAATCAAAGTGCAGAATTTTGTGTCAAAACCTCTAGCTTTCAACTTGTTGATAACTTTAGAAATGATTGAAGTAAGTGATATAGGTCTAAAGTTATCCCAACTTGTTTTAACATTAGATTTTGGGATAAGCACAATTAAAGAAGAAGAGAAAAACTTCCCTGGACTATTGCCCATAAAATAGCTTTGAATAGCAGCAATGATCTCTTTATGAATAATATCCCAGCAGTGAGTATAAAAGGAGGAAATAAAACCATCAGGACCTGGAGCTTTATTAGCATTAATGTAAATAAGCTTTTGTGGAAACAAATTGTGTTTCTAAGCTTTTGTGGAAACAGGTTGTGTTTCTAGCGCAAAGTATCTGAGCCAAAGTTTAAAATTCACAATCACAAGTCATGCATTTTGGCTTTTTCGGTAGTTTTATTTTATTTTCTCAATGCTGGCTTTCTTAGCATATGGCACTGCCAATGCTAACACTACAGACATCGTATGATACCTCCGAAACTTCTAAGAAGAGAAAAAAATGAGGTGATACTCATTAGTTCTTTATTTTTTTTGAATAATTTTTATGTAGAAGATAGTCAATGAAACTTGACATGTTTCAGTACATCAATCAGCCGACCTATGATTGTGCTAAGAGTCGTCATGAATTTACAATGGAAAGTAGCATATAAGCCAATATAAATTACTTAATAACTTAAGTTGAGACCAATCTATGATTTCCTTGAACATAATGGGATTTGGAGAAATCCAATTGGTAGATCGCAAAACTAAGATAAATAATTTTTAGAGTGTTTCGATGAACACTTGTTAAAATTGATAGTCAACTTTTCATTACAAAATATTATGAAAGCTAAGTACAAGTGACTTAAGTTGTCTACCTCGATAAAGCTAAAGATGAAGAGGGTATCAAAATTCATTATCAAGAAGTTGCTGATATATGAACAGCAAATTTAATATGAACCTTGATAAAAGAGCTAGGCACGTTTGAAAGATTAGAGAACATAACGAGCCATTAAAATGTCTATCTTTCTTGGTTGTAATTTTTCCTTCAGCCTTTGGTCAAAGTTTATAGTTGTAATTTTTCCTTCAGCCTTTGGTCAAAGTTTAATTTACTGGTAAACTTCAAAGGCCTAACTTGAAAAAATATTTGTATGTAATAGCTAGTCCAACATATCATTCCAGTAGGGAATAGAAAATATAGTAAGTTGCGATGTTTTTAATATTTTTTTTATTTGTACAGATGCATCATGATTCATCTTTCTTAGAAGTAATAAGAATTAAAATTACATGATTAGTAGATATTTTAAACGTGGCAACTCATTTGGTATCCCATTTGATGAATTGTCAATTTTTTTTTTTGGATTGAAGATACAATAAATGGACTAGTATAATCAACAGCAGTCTATTTTACTTATCGAGAAAGTAACATAAAAATGAATTCAAAGTTATTTCCAAATGTAAAAAATTCTCTAGACGACAATAATTAAGCTGGTGATCTAGGTGGCATTTATAACACTTTGGCATTAAAAGCCTATACATGAAAAGATGGACTTCACTTTTAAAAAGTTAGTAAGGATGGCTACACATGTAAATATGAAAGTTTTGGTGTTTAGGTATGTAAATGCATAAGAAATTGTGGGTATTTATATACTTTTTTTATAAAAAAAAATTGTATATGATATAATCATTCCTTGTTCAACTATACCTAATGCTGATTTATCTTCAAAAAATTTTGAGCAGCAGTCTTAACAATTCACTTTATAATATTATCCACAAGCATTAGTTAAGGCACTTCGCATTGAAAATGTTTGAAGAGTGTTTTTATAATCAATAATAAAAAGAAAATTTTACATACACACAATTGTTATGTACATGCATACCTAGCACCTAAGCTTTCATATTTACATCCATAACACTTTGGTGCTATAACATATGCATGAAAAAGGTGTATTTCACTTTTAAAAGAATATGATAGTGTTATTTTCGATGTGATGTTAAAGATTTGAATGTTGTGTGTAAATATAAAAGTTCAGCTGTGATATAGGTAAATACATTAGAATTGAGTGGCTATGTATGTAAATGCCCCTAACAAAAAATATATCTCCCATTCATCCCCGAAATGTCCTGCACACTATTTCTATGGTGAAATCAATTTACTTTCAGTTATTTATTTATTTTATTAATTTGGCATGAAACTGAAATTTCTTGATATTTATGTGCAAAGACCGAAGATAATGATTGATTTTAGTTGTGGTTTTGCATTCAATTTTGTGTTCCTGCAGGCTATGTTCTGTTTAAGTTTCAGATTGCCTGCAGAATCTTTGGTAGAAGATGAGAGTATCAAATATGATCACAAGCCATCTGAATCCAATCTATAGCATTTTACTGAGCCTTCAGAACAGGTAGGAGTTTTTTCAGCGCATGAAACTTGTGCGTTAGTAGAAATATCTTGTAACTTACATTGCTTAACTTATAAATTTAAATTCAATTAATATTTTGATTGGTATGTTTTTTTTACCATTCTATCCACAACCACCCCTCGTGATTTCAGTTGTTGTAAACTAAAATTGGAGTCATAATCTCATGGCATGATTTTCATATCAAATTCATTAAAAATACATTTAATTACTTCGTGCAGTAATATAAAGTTGTGACTGCTCTTATGGGCTCTCTATTAGTATTTGTAATACTCTTTAAAGATATTGGATTTAGATTCTGAAGTTACACACACATACTATATTTTTTTTTAATGAAAAAGCCCAAGGGCTGATATATTAAAGATAAAGATATAAATAACACACACATATTATGTATATATATATATATATGTATATATATAATATATTGAAAGATTGGCCAGAGGCTATTAGTCGAGTCTCTCGACCAGCCTCATGTGCCTAAGTTTTCATTTGACACATAGGCACGATTGAACCCGTGATCCTGGGGTCTTATAAACCCCAGTATGTATGTATGTATGTGTGTCTGTGTATGTCTGTCTGTATGTATGTCTGTATGTGTGTGTGTGTGTGTATGTATGTCTGCATGTGTGTGTGTGTGTGTGTCTGTATGTATGTCTGTATGTGTGTGTGTGTGTGTGTATGTCTGTATGTATGTCTGTATGTATGTCTGTATGTGTGTATGTATGTCTGTATGTATGTATGTCTGTATGTATGTATGTCTGTATGTGTGTCTGTATGTCTGTATGTGTGTATGTCTGTATGTATGTGTGTCTGGTGTATGTATGTCTGTCTGTATGTGTGTATGTCTGTCTGTATGTGTGTATGTGTGTATGTCTGTATGTGTGTACTGTCTGTGTGTATGTCTGTATGTGTGTATGTCTGTATGTGTGTATCTCTGTATGTGTGTATGTCTGTATGTATGTGTGTCTGTATGTATGTGTGTATGTATGTATGTCTGTCTGTATGTATGTCTGTATGTATGTATGTCTGTCTGTCTGTATGTATGTATGTATGTCTGTCTGTCTGCATGCATGCATGTATGTATGTATGTATGTATGTATGTATGTCTGTATGGCTGCTCTTACCAGTACTCTCGCATCCTCTTGATGTTTTGCTCTAGTGAGAAAATTTTTTTATGGTAACCCAAAATTAGAGATCATTCGGAAAGAGTTTGAGGCTATGAAGCTATTGGACAGTTGGAATATTGTTTTACTTGACGGTCAGCACATACTGATTCAGTTGTCTCATGATGTTGATTATACCCGCATCTTTTCTCGGAAAGTTATCAAGATCGACAACCGTTATATAAAAATTCTGAAGTGGACTGTTGATTTCGACCCAAAGGCGGAGTCCCCTATCATTCCAGTTTGAATAAAATTTTTGGGGTTAAAATTACATCTGTTCAAATATTTTTAATTTGAAAATTCTCTACTCCTTAATAACTGCTTACGGTAAGCCTCTCAGGGTTGGTAGTCTTACGCTTGCTGTCACCAGACCCTCTGTGACTTGTGTGTTAGTTGAGAGGGATATCACTCAACCAGCTCTGGATGAAGTGTGGATTGAAATCACTCACAACGGATATTGGCAAAAGATGGAAACGCACCCTCCTAATTGCTCTTATTATAGTATGTTTGGCCACAACTCTTATTTTCTATCGTTTGCATTCTCAACTAAGGTCGAATATCACTAAAGAAGAACCACCTATTATCCCAGTTGAGAGGATGCAACCCGATCCTCTTCCTAACACCGCAATTCCTAAAGAAAAGAAGAACAACATACTACAAGAAGAACAACATACTACAACTACAGATCCAGTTGTGCTTATATCACCCACTGTTATTAAAGAAGACTCTCACATGCCAAGACACACGAGAGTGCTTCTTTGATCCAATAGCAGATCAACCGGTACAATATGTTGTTGCTTCTAATGTTCAACAATCTGCACGTCTCCAGCACACGTTAGACCAAGATCAGGTGTGCCAATCTTTAGAAGAGGAATGACAGGTCTACTCAAAGAGGAAGAAGAAGAATGGAGACCAACTTCAGCTAGGGAACATATTGGATGATACATTGGTTACTACTGGCAATGACAATCATCTTAATAACTTATTAGCTTGCTCCTTCCCTAGAACCGGAGGCAGAGACAAAACCAAATTGGGTTTCTCTCTAGCCACCTGATACTTTGTATTTCAGCATTTTTAGGCTTTTTCTTTATGTCTCTACTGTACTTTTCTGTATTTTCTAGTTTTGGAGCCACTTGTGATTTTGGTGTGAACATGGTGCTATGTTTGGGCCCTTCAACACATTGTATCTGTATCTTTCTTTCTATTTAATATATTAGCCTTTTTGGGCTTTATATATATATATATGTGTGTGTGTGTGTGTGTGTGTTGTGTAAAAAAGGAAAGTCCAAAGGCTATTATACGTGCCCCAACCACCTCTCATGCGCCTAAGAATTCAAGTACCACACCCTACACTTGGGGGAAATCGAACCTCAGACTAGAGGGGACTTATAACTGACAAATAGATGTCCGATCAACTGATATGAGTACACGACACACACACACACACAGATATATATATATATATATATATATATATATATATATAAACACAC